AGTGCTGCTGGCTTGGTTTTCTCCCCAGAAGCCTGTAAGAGAGGCTCTGAGGTTGTCTAGGGTCTCTGTTCAGGCTTCTAGTGGGGCAGGATTGGAGGCTAGCATCAGCCATGTGAAGTGACTTAGAACGTGCATAGCTACCCAGACAGAGAACAGAGAATGCCCTAGTTCAGAGCATTGGCTGGACACCCAAGTCAGTCACAGGTGCTGACAATTCCTCTTAGCTGGGTAGGTTCATCTAAACAGGGGAATAGGCAATCAGTGGACATTGTCTGTAACGGACTCCCACCCACACTGACAGCTTTTGGGTGAAAGATTTCTACTATGACTTTGGATGAATGCTACTTTGTTAGGTTCACAGAGTTGCCAGGGATGTGTCTTTGGTGCTACAGTGTGCATCTTGGGTATCTTCCAGACCTTTGCAGTTGGCCCTATGGCCGATGGTTGGAAGATCTTAAAGTCAAACCTTCCAGGTATATTGACTTTGGTATTTACCCTGCATGTGACTGTACAGCAGCACCAGGTGAACAGCAAAATATCATGAAGGAAAATGAATCTGTACTGTGGTGGATATCTGAGCCAAATCATACATGTGCCTTATACAGTATTGTCACTCTTCCTTGAAGTCATGTGGTGACCTCGTGATCTGCGTGAGCATTTCTGTGATTGACGTTTTAGTTATAGTGGTCATTCCACTCATATTTGTGTATAAGAAAGCTTGGTAGTATAGTGATAGCATCTTGATCTGGGGTCGAGGACAGATGAGTTTATTGTACAAGAAAACAGATGCGCTATTTTCATGGCCAAGGATCGGGCATATATGCTAAATGTTCCTTGAAGATACTGGGGTTTCCTATGCTCAGAGTGTCCAAAAGAAACTCACCGCATATGCAGCATGTCCCTGTATGAGTTGGGGGTGGGCGGCTGGCCAGTGGAATTAGTGTGATGAATATGTTTATGATGTTTGCTGTGTCATGAGCCATAAGGCACTTGACCTTTGACCTGGGAACCTCTTGTCTTCTGCCAATATTGGAACACTGTTACAGACCAACAGGTTACAGTATAGAATGCGTGTCAGCCTGGAATTTTTATATTTATTGAGATTATCCATGGATTTTATTCAAAACAAAATAAACATTCATAGGTCTGTTTCTTGTTTGTCCATTTAAGTTGTTGTTTGGGTTGTACACATAAGTGAATACGTATAGTATTTGTATGTCACTTAGTTCACATCTCATAACACCTTCTGGGTCAAACCACTTATCACAAATGACAAGATACAAAGAAAAAAGCTGAAAGAGACACAAATAAAATGTATAGCCTGAATGTTACCAGTGTGGAATGGAGAAGGATGATGGGCAACATGAGGAAGTGGGAATGGGAAGCACAGGCTTCCGTGGAGTGAAAAGAATACAGAGAACTCCTCCAGTGGTTTTCCCGTAGCATTTTATGGTGCCAGATATTAGCGACTCTTGGTGAGTATAGCAGCACCTATAGAGTTGTTGAGTCCGCATGTTGTACACCTAATGTAATGGGACATTGTAAAGTATATATTAATAGAAAGGAAATCAAGATGGATATCAAGAAGCATATACATGTGTAGATTAAAGTAGTGTCCTAGGAAGTTGCAGGTAAAGAAATCTAAACCTGCTCTTCCAAAGAAGCTAATCCTCAGTACTCACAGTAGGATAAAGTCCTAGGAAAGCAAACTGATAAACATTCCTCAGTGTAGAAGGGAAGGGACAGGGGAAGAGAAGCATGTGCCCAGCAGAGCAAAGAAGGGAACTGGAAGACCAAGAAGATCCTGTGGTCCTCACAGGCAGCCCAGGAAGAGCAGCCCAGGCCATCCATGGAAGAACAGTCATTTCTGTGAGAGCTTCTTAACTCCATTTCCTTGAATTTGGTCTCTCTCCTCTCACCACTGAGGAGCATCAGAAAGGCTTTTCCTTGGAAGTGGATTCTTTGGGGAAGACCAGAAAGTGCAACCGGGTTGTAAAGCTGCTCATTTTAGGCAAAGTCAGTTTTTAGAGGGAACTCTAGGTTCAAAGAAGTGATCCTGTACCCTGACCATGGGTATTAGTAAAAATGCAGGGGAAACTTGAAATTGATAAAGGCCATGGATACAGTGGGGTCCAAGGTACAAAACCCAGCGTTGCAGCCAGAAGCTATTTGTACCTGCATTTCTTGTGAAGGAGGGAGCTGTTTCCATGAGTATGGTGGTATGGGAAATTGAAGAAAGAAAAATAGGAGGTCCAGAGAAGAGTGATTGGGTTAAGTTTGTTATGCAGGAGTAGGGTTGGCTTGAATGAAGAGTGAAGGGAAGCGAAGGACTCCATACTCACCTGTATGCTCTGCCCCCTTTTTAAGTACCTTTGAAACTATTGTGATTCAGTCCTGGAATTTTGAGTGGAGCATGCATTGTTGATCAGTGCCACATGTGTGAAAAGTAGAAACTCAGACACCACCCAAACATGCAAATCAGACTATAAATTATAACAGGATCTTCAGTTCATTGTCATTCACATTAACATTGGTGACGTGCACTTCTAGCTCAGCCAGACTCTTACATTATTCTACTCCTGACGTCAGGTCTGTAGGACATCAGTTTGATATCTGTGCCTTGTATGCCATAAATCAGGATATATGCTCTTCACTTCCCAGATTACTTTGGGTATGGGTTATCCCATAACATCTACGTAAATTTAGGATGGATTTTGATCTTTGTGCAAAAATGGCATTGGAGTTTTGGTAGAGATTGCATTTTGTGTAGATCGCTTCAAGATTTATTGTGTTTCAATTATTCCAGTGAAAGAATATAGTTAGTTTTCCTACATAGGAAACCTAACCATAGGTTAGGTTTCTAGGATTCCTGAAGAGTATCTTGCACTTTTCATCGTTTCTGGTTTGACCTCTACCATTATGTTAAATTGGAAGCATTTATTGGGGTGGGGGGTTGTTGTAAATGTATGATGTCTCTGTTTTGGGAATTGTTCTTTGTTGTGTAGAAACAAAGCTAATTTTTAATGTGTTGGTTTGTGTACCAGCTTTATAAAATCCATATGAGTTTTAACAGGATTAAAACAATAAGGATTCCTAGGAGAAGAAATGGCAGTGGTGTAGGAGGGTCCTAGACTCATTTGTCCTGTCATGAGCAGCACTACGTAAAAGTCAGGTCATCCTAAATTCCCCAGACATTGGGCTGAAGAGTGACAGGAGAAACTCCTCAAGTAATAGTAGAGAAGAGGCCACATGGAAGATGGAGATTGTGTGGAGACATGGTTTAGAGAGGAAAGGAGTATAGCATCGTGGAGGGCAGGGAGCCTTGGTTGTGTGGTAGGTTTCATGACAGAGGAGCACTCAGGGGAATGCCTAAGGAAGTTTCCCAAAGCCATTGGCTTGGAGAGGGAGAAGGGCTAAATTTCATGAGTTCTTGGAACGAGCACATCTGAAAGCCTGGAGGTTTAATGGTCAGCAGGTTTGGATGGTATAGAATCAGGAGGACACCTGGGTGCTCTTTGAGAGAAGGCTGGCAAACAACCTGGGGGCACCCAGCATGGAAACAGTCATCTGGAGAACACCTGAGGTGCACAGTGGGGAGAGTATTCAGTAGTCTAGGAGCACATTCCTGAGAGGAAACATTCAGTGACATGTGGCTTCCAAAACATGGGAGCCTTCTCCTGTCCTGTAGCATAAAGACTGAGTCCCACTCAGTGAGGACACCGGCTGTCTCCCTTGCTTGCACCAAGCCTCACCCCCTGTGATCTGAGGGGACTTCCCTTCTCAGTAAGGCTTGCCTCAGGCTAAGCCAGATCAGCCCCTGCCCACATCACATCTCCTGACCAGGGATTCTGCAGGGCTGCAGTCCTGGTGGAGTTGATGTCAGGTCTCCTTTCACAATTGGAGCAGAGCTCACCTAGTTCAAACTGGCCACATTCAGGCCAGGGACCAAACACTGCCCATAGCAGGCAAGGAGAGACCCTGCAGACCACTGGTCTGAAGGATACAACAGGACACATCACTGACTTTTGTAATGGACAGAGGAAAGTAGAGACTTAGAGAAATGCCAAGATGAAAGAATTTATCCCAAGGAAAACCAGCAGATAAGACCAAGCCCAGAGATCCAGTGGAAACAGTAGTAAGGAGCTTGATGGAGAATTTAAGGTCGCAATCATAAGGATACTCAAGGAGTGAGAAAACAATAGTGAGAATTTTACCACAGAGATAAGAGTTAAAATATAATTGGGTGCTTGGTGGCTCACGTGGGTAAGTACTGACTCTTGATTTCTGCTCAGATCTTGATCTCAGGGTCCTGGGATAGAGGCTCAAGTCATACTGTATTCAGTTTGATGGCTGCATGGGATTCCCTCTCTCTGTAGCTCCCACCCAAAATCTTGTGATTCCCCCCCTTAAAAAATCGTTACCTCTTATAATTTTATTCCTACAGCCAGTTATAGTTTGTCCTCTTTCACTTCTTCACTTGTCATTATACTCAGTCTTTTTTCTGTTATTCTTTATTTAGTTCATGGGCTGTCAGTGCTGTTTATCTTTTCTGCCAAACAGCTCTTCCTGTGCTTGATATGTTTCTTTTTTTACTGTACTTTCTTTGATTCAGTTCAGTTTTCTGTTTTCCATATCCTCCATTCTTCTGCTAAGTTTCAGCTCATATGATCCTTTTTGTGATTGGTAGAGATACAGGGAAGGGATTTCTGCTACACTGTGACCATATCACAGAATTATCTATTTGGATATATGGTCTATATGTTGTGTACCATGTTATGTTTTCATGGGGAAATGAGGTCCTGATGACTCCTTGTCAGCCATCTTTCTGACATTGTCTGAGTGACTTGATGCTTCTGTATTAGAAGTCTTCAGTATATTCTTCTGAATGTAGTAATTGCAATGGTTTTACTTTTATTTCGTATCTTTCAGCTGTATCTTCACATGAGACCCAGAGTTTCCTGCTAGAGTGTAGCATAGAAGGTTCTTTCCAGAACGGGTCAATGCACAGATACAAAGATAGTGCTGTTGAGATTTTGTACTTATGCACAGACTGGGACAATGATGGGGAGAGTGAAGGGCCTCAAAGAAATCTTGGACGATACACCAAAACCAAGGCAATTGCCCTCAATGAGAATCTCACTGCCCCAAATGGTGAAAGATATAAACCACTGCAGAAAACCTCCCTTTTTAAGTCAACTGTTTCTGCAGAGCAGTGTGTTTCTGTCAGCACAAGCTCCAATCAGATAGTCAACCATATCGATTTGTGGACAGACCACTTGGAACATCTGGAAAGTAACCTAGTCCATGCTGAGAGTAATGATTTGAGCCATTTGGAAAATAGGATTGGTCTGACTTTAAATCAGAGATTTAGAAATGAAGAACAGAGTGCTCAGTGGGATCCATATGAGAGGGAATTCACTGAGGAGTCGACTCTACAGCATGACCAGAGGCTTTTCACTGGAGACAGAATTGCTCAATGCACTGAATCTGAGAAAATAGTGAACCAGGACTCCTGTGTTCACAGATGTGTCAGGGCTAGGTTTGCAGAGAACCATTATGAATGTGATAAATGTGGGCAAGGCTTTCATCCAAGCTCTAACCTCAGTATATGTAATGGTCACCATTTGGGAGACAGTCCTCATAAAGATAATGAATGTGGAAAAGCTCATAACCAGTCCTCCAGTGTTGGTGATCATCAGAGAATTCACGAGGGAAAAAATGCATTCAGTTCTAATAAACCAGGGACCATGTTTAGTCAGTCATCAAGCCTGAACATCAATGAGATAATCCCTTGGGGAAAAGAAACTTACATCTTTAAGGAATGTGGTAAATCCTTTGACTGCCACTCAACACTATCTCAACATCAGCAAATGCATACTGGAGAAAAAGTATACAAATGTGAAGAAGGTGGTCAAACCTTTAAGGACTGTTCGTCAAAAAATGGACATTCGCAGATCTATTCTGGAGAGAAACCCTACAAATGTCAAGAATGTGGCAAGGCTTTTAACAATCACTCAGGTCTTAATAGACATCGCAGAATTCATAATAGAAAGAAACCTTACCAATGTCATGAATGTAGCAAGAGCTTCAACAAGGGCCCAGCCCTTATTCAACATCACAGAATTCATAGTGGAGAGAAACTTTACCAATGTCAAGAATGTGGAAAAGCCTTTTGTGAGAGGTCAACCCTTACTCAACATCACAGAACTCATACTGGAGAGAAACCTTACCAATGTCA